TAGATTACAAAAATTTTCGAAGACTCCAAAGACAAACTTCGACTCATTACAACATTTCGACCCTAACACATATCAACAACCAGGAAATTAGGGAAAATTAATAAACTATCATTGAATATGGAATTGACCCAGCCTTTCCTCATAGACTACTTTACTTGTTGTATAGGAGTTGCCAAAACTGACCATTTACTTTCTACACAAAATTAATGAACTTTTGTATAACCAACATTTAGCAAGTATAAACCTTTAAGATACATATTCAGAAAAAAAAGGAAATAATTTAGAGGTGTGATGGAGTCGTGGGGGTTAGTTGTGATACCAGCAGACGATGATAATGGTGGCTGTGAGTAGTATTGATGGTGGTAGATCGAGAAGCAAGAGGCTGAGAAGAGACACAGGTTGCGAATTTGGTTGCTGCATAGGCGTAGATGACAGAAGATTGAGGAAACTAATATCAATTGATCAAATCCGCTCACCATCTCCATAAATATGCAATAGCCTTTATAACCATGTGACATCGTTCGATTGAGAGAAAAATATAGGAAAAATTCAGACTTACCTTTCGCGTTCACGATGAAATTGAAGAAGCACACGTCAAGCATCTTCTAGCAATGTCGATTTAGTGTGTGTGTGTGTGTGTGAAAGATTAGGGTTCCTTTTGGAGAGAATTTGAAACCCATTCATATAATCGGTGTTGAAGGGCTTTAGACCGTCGCAATTTCTTGTAAAATCGAAAGAACAAAACTTTGAGACAAAACTTAAACAAACAAAAGCTATCAAGCACCCTAACCCCAAAGCCTCGACTTATTTGGATCTTCTCACATAGTTGACTGGTCTTGAAGAGGTGTCGTGGCTAAAGTTTCATCTGTCTATAGATGGGGAATGGTATGCGTGGTGGTGGAAAAGATGCAATAGGAGTTTCTTTCTATAGATATCGGTGGGGCTGGTCTTATGATGCCATGACAGTGGCAAGGAGGAAAACGATGGTGGATGATTTTGCTGAAATATGGTTGTCGTGGTGTTGGTGAGTGACGGCTAGTGTTAGTGTTAAAGAGTTGTGAATAGTTTGAAGGTTGTGAGAAGGGATTTAGGGTTTCCTATCTAGGGGAAGATAAGTTGCTTTAAAATGGGGCGGAAAACGAAGAACCGTGGAATGAAGGACTTGACTGGTATAATCGAGGGTATTGCATGTGGATGTGGGGAAAAGGGAATCTGATCCTTCTATTTTTTTGCTCCGCAAGTGGCGAGATGTAGAGGTGAAGACAGAGGCGATTTCATAGGAAATAAAAACAATGGTGAAGTTCGTTGGCAGGTGGAGAGATGGAAGAGAGGGTAGTGCTGGTGATGACTGATAGATTATCTTCAATTGCACCCCCTTTCAGTGTATAGATAGAAGATGTCAGCGAATATAAGGGAAAAGGAGGCCAAATTTTTCGAATTAAGAGGAAACTGTGTCGAGCAATGGTGTAGGTCGCCGACGGGAGGATAGAATAAGGAGAGGGGTGGTGTTGTTGACGATAGCTAGGGTTTAACCGGAAGGAAATTGATGTGCTTCCATGATTCAATATAATTTGTAGAGTCTATTAGTCATATAAAATGATAAGAGGGAAGGCGACCACAAATATTTGCAGATATCTCGGCATCAACAAGACTCGATCAAAATATTAGTGGAAAACGTACATGGGTATACCGGGCGATATATGGGGAAAAGATAGGACCATTTAAATGAGTTTCAATTAAATATATATTAGGTAGTTGTAAATAGTATTTTATATGTTGGGACCATCTAACAATTGAAGTAAGAGTTTTGATAGAATAATATTATTTTATTGACGTTTGATTGTACGTTAAGTTTAATCACTTGAACGTCTTAAAAAAATAATATTATTGTATTGAATTTATTTTTAGAAATAGTAAGATTTCCTTTATAATGTAGTGTGTGTGTGTATATATATATATATATATATATATATATATATATATATATATATATATATATTGGACCAAGGGAATTAGATGCTCTAAAACCCTAACACCCCGTTCCCGAGTTGAACTTAACGAGAGAAAGGAAAGGAAATGAGTGGAAATGAGAAGAAAATAAAAGAGATTGGTGTTCTCGAGTTTCATTAAAGGAGGGAAGTGAAGAGAAATGAGTATACCGGGTGATATATGGGGAAAAGATAGGACCATTTAAATGAGTTTCAATTAAATATATATTAGGTAGTTGTAAATAGTATTTTATATGTTGGGACCATCTAACAATTGAAGTAAGAGTTTTGATAGAATAATATTATTTTATTGACGTTTGATTGTACGTTAAGTTTAATCACTTGAACGTCTTAAAAAAATAATATTATTGTATTGAATTTATTTTTAGAAATAGTAAGATTTCCTTTATAATGTAGTGTGTGTGTGTGTGTGTATATATATATATATATATATATATATATATATATATATATATTTATATTGGACCAAGGGAATTAGATGCTCTAAAACCCTAACACCCCGTTCCCGAGTTGAACTTAACGAGAGAAAGGAAAGGAAATGAGTGGAAATGAGAAGAAAATAAAAGAGATTGGTGTTCTCGAGTTTCATTAAAGGAGGGAAGTGGAGAGAAATGAGAGGATCGCTTTCCCTCCTAACCTTCCTTCCGATTTGGGAGGATTCGGAAAGAAAGAACAAAATGATTCATTTTCCTTCTACTTCTCTCAAACTCGGGAACACAAATGAGAATTTTGTTTTCCTTTCCTTTCTCTTCTTTTCTTTCATGACTTTCTTTTCTCTTCTATTCTTTTCTTTTGTTAAACTCGGGAACGAGGCGTAATAATCTTGTCTCATCCTCCTTTCCCCTCCATATGTGCAGCTGCGTCGATAATAAAAGCAACCGACAAGTTTCTTTTGGTTGAAATTTTCAAGACTTTGAGCTAGAGTTCCTTGTTTGCTTTCTCGTTAAGGGGTGCAATATTGGTAGAGGATTCTGATTTGGATCCTAAAAGCTTCTTGACAACAAAAAAGGTATTTATGTTGAACCTTCTTTTATGTTAGTGATTGTGTTTAATTGATTGAGTCAAGATCCTTAGTTTAAACATAATGTTCTTTTAATTGCTTTCATTTTTTATTTGATCTAATGAAAATCGAACAACACTTTGATCCAAGAATATTACAACCAATCATATTCTTCACCCATTGTCCTTTTTTCCATGTGGGATGTTCCTGATTTCTCTCGCAAAACATGACCTCGACTCTCTAGGTTGCCTCCTCATCACATGTTGACATTGAACTCCGACTTTCTCTAATCTGATATTCTCCGAAACAGAAGAATCTCTATGTAGTCGACTTCAGAGAACTACATGATGAACTTCGACAAACCTCCGACTAATCAACTATAGCAAACCTTAAAACGGGTGTAGTCGACTTTAGAGAAGTACATGATGAACTTCAACATACCTCCGACTAAATAACTATAGCGAACCTCAAAACGAGGAAAGATACCTACGAAGTGGCAGGTGATACTTGTTGGTCAGTTTAGTTAGTGACCATTACGTTTTCCTTATCATTTTTTTTATTGTGCAGTCAATAGCAACGAGATCTCAAATATTTAACCTAGAAATAATATCGGTTTTGGAATCTCGGACCCAAATAGTGATCGAAAGAATTGCACTGATATACACTGGGATATTATGATACATATTTTTGGGTCAACTTCTAAGCAAAATACAAACTGGGCCGAGTCATCGACTATTTTTAGCCCAAAACATGAAACGGGCTGGATTTTTTTTTACACGACACGCTCGCACACATCGGCAATCCGCATCACTCCATAGTCTCCATTACAAAGACCTAATTAATTACATTCCCGTTAGTCATTCCTTCCAAGTTTCAACTTCCAACTTCCAACGTCTATTTTCTCTTTCCTAGATTCAGATTCGACTCCCAGTTCTGCGACAAAGGATAGCTTGGCGAGGGCGCCGTGGTTCTTGAGTTTTGACCTACGAATCTACCTGGTTTGTTTTCACATACGATTCTGACTTCTGGACTCTGGTTGTTTACTTTATTGCTATTAGCCTACAATGCTACTGATTAGTTAGATTAGCTTACTATCTTAGTTGATTTTTGCAATTATCCATGATTTTGACTTTGATTTAACTTTAAGTTTGACTTTGACAAATGTACTGCTACTCCGCGATTTCCGATATTTCAAATCTCAGCCCTTAACCGATATTTTACTTTTGTCCGTCATCACTTTCTAGTTTTATTGACATACCAGACACGTATAAGATTGCTCATCCCCAAATGCTGCTTTGTAAACTGTTGCATTATTGCCTAGGAAATTATGTTCCTTTCTTGGCTCTGTTACTGAATCATTAGCTTTGGAACTTGCCCTTTGAAAGCTGATTCATATTTTACGTATCTTTCGAAGAATAATGGGTTCTGATTGTGCTTTTCTGATCAGATTGATTTAAGAGGTGCCTCTGTAAAATCCATTTTTGTGAAGGGATCCGGCTTAGTTTTTAAGGGATTTGCTACCACAGCATCCCACAAAAGATCTTTTTCCCATTTCCATCATATGTTGATCTATCCACCTTTATATATGTTAAAAAATGAAGACATCACGTATCTAACACCTGTAATTACTATCATCTTCTTTAAAATAATCATATTTTGGTATTTTTTTATAATTAATCAATGATAAACCATTTTATTGATTCCTATTACTACCATCATCTAGATTAATTTCTATTTAACTTTATCTTTAAGTTCAATTTAGATTATGAGATGATCTATATTACCATTACATCATTGGATGATGGGCCAAAGCTAATCAAACCTTACTCAATGCAATGAATCTAGGATGCATTTAAATGCCCAATCCATTATAAATTTTCATCCAATTTTGTCTGACAAGTTGTTGGTTACTATGTAGGTTCTTCCACAAGTAAGAATTTCCAACAATGGATGTTGTTAATGCCATTCTTAAACCAGTTGCTGAGACGCTTATGGAACCTGTTAAGAAGCATCTAGGCTACCTCATTTCCAGCACACAACATGTGAGGGATATGAGAAGAAAAATGGGGGAATTGGATGCTCTAAGACAAGCCGAAGAAGACCACTTGGACATGAACATAAGAACTTGTCTTGAGGTTTCATGTCAAATTAGGAACTGGTTGGAAGAAGTGCAAAAGATCGATGCAAAAGTAAAAACCGTTCCTAGTGATGTCGGTACTTGTTGCAGTCTCAAGAGTAGACACACAGTCGGAAGAGAAACCTTCAAACTAATTGAGGAGATTGAAAGTGCCACAAGAAAACACTCTTTGATCACGTGGACTGATCAACCCATTCCTTTGGGAAAAGTTGATACCATGAAGGCAACCACCTCCACACCATCAAGTGATCATGATGACTTTCAGTCAAGAGAAAAAACTTTTACTCAAGCACTGAAAGCACTTGAACCAAACAACACATCCCACATGATAGCATTATGTGGGATGGGCGGAGTGGGGAAGACCACAATGATGCAAAGGCTCAAGAAGGTTGCAAAAGAAAATAGACTATTCAATTATATGGTTGAGGCAGTTATAGGGGAAAAGACGGACCCAATTGCTATTCAACAAGCTGTAGCAGATTACCTTGGTGTAGAATTAAAAGAAAGCAGTAAACCGGCAAGAGCTGATAAGCTTCGTGAATGGTTCAAGGCCAACTCTAAAGAAGGCAAGAATAAGTTCCTTGTAACAATTGATGATGTTTGGCAGGCCGTTGATTTGGAAGATATTGGTTTAAGTCCTTTTCCGAATCAAGGTGTCGACTTCAAGGTTTTGTTGACTTCACGAGACGAACATGTTTGCACAGTGATGGGGGTTGAAGCTAATTCAATTCTTAATGTGGGACTTCTAATAGAAGCAGAAGCACAAAGTTTGTTCCAGCAATTTGTAGAAACTTCTGATCCCGAGCTCCATAAGATAGGAGAGGATATCGTAAGGAAGTGTTGCGGTCTACCTATTGCCATCAAAACCATGGCATGTACTCTTAGAAACAAAAGAAAGGATGCATGGCAGGATGCACTTTCACGTATAGAGCACTATGACATTCGTAATGTTGCGCCTAAAGTCTTTGAAACGAGCTACCACAATCTCCAAGATGAGGAGGCTAAATCCATTTTTTTAATGTGTGGTTTGTTTCCTGAAGACTTCAATATTCCTACCGAGGAGTTGATGAGGTACGGATGGGGCTTAAAGATATTTGATAGAGTTTATACGATTAGAGAAGCAAGAAACAGGCTCAACACCTGCATTGAGCGACTAGTGCAAACAAATTTGTTAATTGAAAGTGATGATGATGTGCACGTCAAGATGCACGATCTGGTCCGTGCTTTTGTTTTGGGTATGTATTCAGAAGTAGAGCATGCTTCAATTGTCAATCATGGTAATATTCCTGGGTGGACTGAAAATGATTTGACTGACTCTTGCAAAACAATGTCATTAACATGCAAGAGTATGCATGAGTTTCCAGGAGACCTGAAGTTTCCAAACCTAACGATTTTGAAACTTATGCATGGAGATAAGTTGCTAAGGTTTCCTCAAGACTTTTATGAAGGAATGGAAAAGCTTCGGGTTATATCATACGATGAAATGAAGAATCCATTGCTTCCCTCATTACCTCAATGCTCCACTAACCTTCGAGTGCTTCATCTCCATGATTGTTCATTAAGGATGTTTGATTTCTCTTGTATTGGAAATATGTTAAATCTGGAAGTGCTCAGCTTTGTTGGTTCTAGCATTCAAAGGTTACCTTCTACATACGGAAATTTGAAGAAGCTAAGGCTACTTTATATTAGACATTGTTATGATCTTCGTATAGAACAGGGTGTCTTGAAAAATTTGGTCAAACTTGAAGAACTTTATATTGGAAATGTGTCTAGGTGGGTTATAGATGATAATTGCAAGGAGATGGCAGAGCTTTCAAACAGCCTCTCTGCGTTAGAATTCGAGTTCTTCAATAACAAAGCTCAAGTGAAGTATATGTCATTTCAAAATCTTGACCGATTCAAGATCTCAGTAAGGCGCTCTTTAGATGAAAATATCGGTAAGAGTAGCCACTCATATGGAAATACGTTGCAGTTGGTGACCAACAAAGATGAAGTATTGGACTCTAAACTTAATGAGTTGTTTGTGAAAACAGAGGTGCTTTGTTTAAGTGTGGATGGTATGAATGATCTCGAAGATGTTGAGGTGAAGTCAACACATCCTCAATCCTCTTCTTTCTATAATTTAAAAGTCCTTGTCGTTTCTGAGTGTGCAGGGTTGACATACCTTTTCAAACTTAGCGTTGCAAATACTCTGTCAAAGCTTGAGCATCTGGAAGTTTACAAATGCGATAATATGGAAGAACTCGTACATAATGGGACTAGGGGTAGTGAAAAAGAGACGATTACATTCCCGAAACTGAAGTTTTTATCTTTGAGTAGACTGCCAAAGCTATTAGGTTTGTGTAATAATGTCAACATAATTAAGCTACCACAACTTGTAGAGTTGAAAGTTAAGGGCATTCCAGGTTTCACATGCATTTATCCACAAAACAAGTTGGAAACATCTAGTTTGTTGAAGGAAGAGGTACATATATATGTTTTATGTTAATACAATTAAAAAAAAAAATTCAACCAAAAGTTTCAGAATATGTGTAATTTGATTGTATAATGTATTATTGTTTTGATGTGGCTATTAAGGGGTGATTATTTTGTAGGTTGTAATTCCCAAGTTGGAGATGTTTCAAATTGATGACATGGAGAATTTAAAGGAAGTATGGCCATGTGAATTTAGTAGGAGTGAGAGAGTTAAGTTAAGAGAGATTGAAGTGAGTAACTGTGATAAGCTTGTGAATCTGTTTCCCAACAATCCCATATCACTGTTGTATCATCTTGAAGAGCTTAAAGTCGTGAATTGTGGTTCCATTGAATCGTTATTCAACATCGACTTGGATTGTGATGGTGGAATTAGAGAAGAAGAAGACAACAACAGTAGTTTAAGAAACATCAAAGTGGAGAGTTCAGGGAAGCTAAGAGAGGTGTGGAGGATAAAAGGTACAGTTAACTCTCATCCCCTTGTTCGTGGCTTTCAAACTGTTGAAAGCATAATCATTAAAAAATGCAAGAGATTTAGAAATGTATTCACACCTACCACCACCAATTTTGATCTCGAGGCACTTTTGGATATGGATATAAGGAGTTGCGGAGAAAACAGGGGAAATAACGAGTTGGAAGTGAGTAGACAAGAGCAAGAGCAGGTATGTCTTTCAATTTCACTTTCTTACTTAATTAAGGATTAAGCTCCCACTTTTTGAATAAAAAAGGTGGGATGTGTAGTAATATGTGTGAACACACGCCCCAAAAATCCGAGTAATTTAGAATAATATTAGTTTGATGTGGAATGGAATTAAAATATAAAGCGTAATCAACCACCAATAAAAGACGGATGAAAACGATAAATAAAAGAGACATAAAGACTTATGTGGAAAAACTCAAATTGGGAAAAACTACACGCGGAGGAAGCCGAGAAACAATCCACTATAATTTTGCAGTGTTTACAAAGAGCTATGGTGGTATATATTTATTGTGTGCTAGAATGCACCAATAGGAATTTAGTAAATTAAATAATTATTTAATTAAATAAATATAGATATTAAATGATTTCCATAATTATATGTATATTAAATGATATCCATAATTATAATTTTCTTTTTATAGAAACTAATTAAATCCGTCATTAATCTCAGCAATAACATTCTTTCAGATGAATTCGCATCTAGGTGTTTATATATAAGTTCGTATTTTGTTTCAGGACTCACTCGCTTAAACTACAAGAAAGTTGCATGGAATATGAAGAACAAGAGTGTATTCTACTAGAATATACTCTCATTCTTCTACATATGAATTCATTCTGAAAGAATATTATTATTGACATTAATGACGAATTTAATTAGTTTCCATAAAAGTAAGTTATAAGTATGGATAGCATTTAATATACATATAATTAATACTAAATTCCTATTGGTGCATTCTAGCACACAATAGATGTGAAAAATATTTGAACCTACCTCTCTCTCTCTCTCTCTATATATATATATATATATATATATATATATATATATATATATATATATATATATATATATATAAGTGTTTTACACGACTTTACCTCAAAGTTTGCAATTTTCACCAACTTCTCAATAAGGCGTAGTAAGAAAAAGATACAATTAAACCTCTTGACATTTTGACTTCTTTTGCCTTTTTTCTTTAGGTGTAAGAATAGGTGAATTAAATGACATATTAAATACCAAATTACAACTTTGGTCGTTGAAGTATTTGCCACTTGACAATTTTAGAGGCATATTTTCACAAAATGACTAAACTTGGGCATCACAATCAGAAGGAAACCTTACTAATCATTAAGTGACAAACCATTTCTTGACTTAATGTTACAGTACAAGTCATTTATAAATGTGACTACTTTTTTTTTTTTTTTTAATATAAAATGACTACAAAACGTGATATTTCATTAGAGATCATGTATAAATGTGATTAGCTTTTCATCACGGAACTTTTATTAATAAATCATTATAAATGTCGCTAATTACTTTGTAGTAAAAAATAATAAATTTAATAAATTATCAACTAAAAATGTCATTTTCCAACAAAAAAGTATTTGGCTCTAAAAAGCCCGTAACTGGAAATAACTTAAAGTAAAAGGACTTGATATTTAATAAGAGCAAATTTTATCTAAATGCCAATATAAATTCCTTCCATCTGTTTTCTTGATCTTGATAGAAAGTTGAATGGTTTTCTACGTAAATTGATAAAATCTACATTATAGATATATTAGCTTGAAAAAAAATGGTCGAGGTGCATTTGGTGGATATAGTAGATGAGGATGGAAGGGAGAGCTGATTTCAAAGACACACAAACACATCACCACTTTCTTGATTTTATATTTGCTTTTGGTGTCTACCGAAAAATGCTAACTACATGGACCGTTTTTACAGTTTACTATATTGTTTTTTATTGTGATGCCACGACTGAACCCATTCATCCTTTTATTTATTTATTTATTTATTTATTAAATTTAAGTAGAAACTTAGGCTGTAATGGAATAGGTCGGTGACTTGGTTGGGCAGATACATTTAATAAACTTAACCCTTCAATTGACCTACCATTGCTTATTTACTCGATTCAAGCTAAACTTTGTCTCTTGTTTGAAGATAATCAACATCTTAATTAAAATATATTTTCTTGTTACATAGGAGCCGATAACATCTTTTAATAGTTTATCTGAAGGTGTAAGATCCAACAATCTTTAATCTGTTGACAATTTCAATCATTTGCAAATGATCCTTGAAAAATTACCTAAAATCAAAATAATCATTTTCAAATCCAAAGTTATATGTGAGAATTGCAAATGGAATTATAAATCATTGACACAATTCAGTATTCAAGTTACCAATTACATTTCTTTTTGGGATATATTTGTGCAGGCTTATATTTCATTAGAGGAAGAGACATTACAAGAAGTCACTGATACTAATATTTCTAATGTTGTATTCCCATCCTGTCTCATACACTCTTTTCATAACCTTCGTAAACTTGAATTGTTCAATTATGAAGGAGTGGAGGTGGTGTTTGAGATAGAGAGTCCAACAAGTAGAGAATTGGTAACAACTCACCATAACCAACAACAACCTATATTTCCCAACCTCGAGGAATTGGATCTAAGTTTTATGTGCAACATGAGTCAAGTGTGGAAGTGCAACTGGAATAAATTCTTCAATCTTCCAAAACAACAATCTGAATCCCCATTCCACAACCTCACAGCCATACATATTGGGTATTGCAACAACATCAAGTACTTGTTTTCGCCTCTCATGGCAGAACGTCTTTCTAACTTAAAGAAAGTCTGGATAACAGAGTGTGATGGTATTGAAGAAGTTGTTTCAAACAGAGATGATGAGGATGAAGAAATGACTACATCTACATCTACCCACACAACCACCATCTTGTTCCCTCATCTTGATTCTCTCTTTCTAAATAACCTGAAGAATCTGAAGTGTATTGGTGGAGGTGGTGCCAAGGATGGGAGCAATGAAGTATCATTCAACAATACCACTACAACTACCACTTTTCTTGATCACTTTAAGGTACGTTTTGTACATATTCAATTACTTATTTAATTTCTTTGTTAATATCCATTTTTCTTTGAAATATTTTAAGAAAATCATCAAACCTCATATAAGAGAATTGCACACCCATTACCTACTATTTAAACTCAAGAATGGGATTTGGAGGCATATAAAGTTTCACTCAATTGAACAATTATATTACTATTTGTTGTTTATTATTCTCATATCATTTATTGATAAGATTTATTTATTATTTTTTCTAATTAGAAAATGCACACATGTCTAATTTGGTTTGCCATTCTATGTAAATCCTTTGTTGTTTCTGTAACCAAGCATCTTAGATTATTTTGGACAATTTTCCTTTTTATAGTGTTATGAATCATACGGATAATAAGTATTTTAATTTCTGGAAAATATCTTATTTTAGGAAATTATCTTGTTTCAGTTTTTGAATTTGGTAATTAGGATCATTTAGTATTTGAGTCGATTTGGGTGATCTTGTTTCCTTATTAGAGTCCTTTGTTTATCCCAATTTAAAGGGTAGTCGTTCATGAAATAAAATTATGCTTGAAGTCAATTACTTTTAATCTCTTAGAATAGTTTAACCTAGTCTCCTCTCAATAGGAGATTAGGTGTTAGTAATACTCACGGCTGTAGGAAGTACAAGTACAGGTCCTGTCATGAGATCTAGATCCCGGGGCGTAACAAATTTGGTATCAGAGCCACTCGTGATGGCGACTCCTGCAGAAGATTTGATGAAAAAGTTGGAGGAATTCATGATTCGACAGGAACAGAGCAATAACGAGATTAAAGGGGCGATTGCAGACTTACAAGCTAAATATGTGTCCCTGGAAGAAGGTTTGTCAAAACAGACAAACTCTAAAAACAAATCAGAAGCCAGCGTGGAGGAAGAAGGTGAACAACAATTTGAAGACAGCAACGAACCCAACCAGGGTAGAGGCAAGGGTATTAATTTGGGCGCGCAAGAAGGAAGGGGATTCATATCCTCAACGGGGGTAGGACGGGGACGAGGAGAGTTTAGGATAAACCCTAACAACGCAGGGAAGGGGTTTGGAATAAACCATAACGGCACAGGGAAGGCACATGAATCAGAATCATGGAGGAGTACTTACCAACCGAAGTTCAAATATAAGTGGGATCCTTTAAAAGGTGAAGCGTCAACACATAATCGAAAAGTTGATCAAGAGCCTATGTATCAAAGGAGGACAGAACCAGAACAGGGGTTCAAAATATGGGACGAAACTGATGAAGTCAATGGGTATAAAGCAACTAGGGTGCCGAAATTTACAAAGATGGAGTTTCCAACTTATGATGGCAAGGACGACCCCTTGGCTTGGCTACAGAAGTGCGAAGATTTCTTTGAAGAACAACAAACTCCAACTGAAGCATGGGTTCGTCAGGCAACATTTGTTCTTCAAGGCAAGGCAAGCGACTGGTATCGGAATTTGAGGCGGATGAAAGAACAGCCAACCTGGAACGAGTTTGTGGAGGAGTGCAAAATTCGTTTTGGCCTCCGATGAGTATGAACCCGCTAGGAGAACTAACGCAACTCAGGCAAACCGGCACGGTGGAAGACTATTGTGCAAGTTTCGAGTCTCTATTAGGAAGAACGACCGGAGTAACTCCAGAACAAAGCATGTGGCACTTTTGTGCGGGGCTAATAAATGTGATAAGATATGAGGTTGAATTTGCGAGACCCATAACTCTATACTATGCCATGAATCTAGCTAGACAAATTGAGCTAAGGGTGGCCGAAGCAGGACAACCAATAGGGGTCGGGCCTACAGGAAACCAAACCTCGGCTGGAAGCCAAAAACGAGAGTCTGCAGGAAAAGGGGGAGCTGGAAACTACAAAACTGAAACACTAAATCCGGCCTGGAAAAAACTAACGGCTGTAGAAATGGCAGAGAGGCGGGCAAAAGGCTTGTGCTTCAACTGTGATGAAATATTCTCGATTGGGCATAAATGTGCCAAGCTCTTTTGCATCATGATGGACAATGAGGAAGATGACGCTAATGGATGACCATTGAGCTTGAGGACAAGCTCAATATGTAGGAGGGGAGTAATGTTATGAATCATACGGATAATAAGTATTTTAATTTTTGGAAAATATCTTATTTTAGGAAATTATCTTGTTTCAGTTTTTAAATTTGGTAATTAGGATCATTTAGTATTGGGAGAACTGCAATAAAGTCCTTATATATTAGCTTCATAATCGATTTAGTTCCTATAGATTTTTTTTATTCAATTAAGTCCTAAATACCGGTAATCGTATTCAATTTAACCCTTTGACCCGGTCAACAGGTCATCCAACATTCAAAAATTACATTTTTGGCCCAGATTTCAAATTTTGTTACCAATTTGGTCCAAAATTTACACTTTTGGCCCAGATTTTAAATTTTGTTACAAATTTGGTCCAAATTTTACCCTTTTTGCCCAAATTTTAGAATTTTATTATGAATTTATCCTTACTTTAGTTTTTTTATGATTTTTTTTCTCAAAAAATTGTTTCTACTATGTTTTTTCTTTATAAAATCATATGTATACCAAAAAAAATTATTTTCACATAAAAATCTTATATTTTTTATATAAAAGTTTTTTTAAAAAGTTTTTGTATATGAAATATCTAGTTAAAAAATATATTTATTAAGTATATAAATATATACAAATCCGTTTTTATAAAAAAATGTATACAAACACCTATCGCCTTTATAGGTGTGTATTTATATTTTTTTTATATAATCATGTTTGTTTATATTATTTTTATAAAAACGTGTTTGAATAATTTTTTATATAATACGTGTTTGTATATATTTTATAAAATCGTGTTCGTATACATTTTATATAAACGTGTCTGAATAATGTTTTTGTACCGTTTTTATAAAAAAATGTATACAAACACCTATCGCCTTTATATATATATATATATATATATATATATATATATATATATATATATATGCACACAAATAGGTGTGTATTTATATTTTTTTATATAATCATGTTTGTTTATATCATTTTTATAAAAAGAACTAAAGTTAGGATAAATTCATAATAAAATTTTAAAATTTGGGCAAAAAGGGTAAAGTTTGGACCAAATTTGTAACAAAATTTAAAATTTGGGCCAAAAATGTAAATTTTGGACTAAATTTGTAATAAATTTTAAAATCTGGGCCAAAAATGTAATTTTTGAAAGTTGGATGACCTGTTGACCGGGTCAAAGGGTTAAATTGAATACGATTACCGGTATTTGGGACTTAATTGAATAAAAAAAATCTATAAGGACTAAGTCGATTATGAGGCTAATATGTAGGGACTTTATTGCAGTTTTCCCTTTAGTATTTGAGTCGATTTGGGTGATCTTGTTTCCTTATTAGAGTCCTTTGTTTATCCCTACTTAAAGGGTAGTCGTTCATGAAATAAAATTATGCTTGAAGTCAATTACTTTTAATCTCTTAGAATAGTTTAACCTAGTCTCCTCTCAATAGGAGATTAGGTGTTAGTAATACTCACGGCTGTAGGAAGTACAAGTACAGGTCCTGTCACGAGATCTAGATCCCGGGGCGTAACATATAGCTGTAACTCCAACCAATTATATATCTAAGTCTTAATGTATATAATAATACATTTTATACACACTATACTAAGATAGTAGTTACCTAAAGGATATATATATATATATATATATATATATATATATATATAGGGAAATCTTCAGAAAAGTCCCAATATTTACGGAAAAGTTACACTTTAGTCCCAAGATTTTTTTTTTGAACGAAAAAGTCCTGAAAACCGGCAAAAATTTGCAGTTTGACCCTTTTTGACCGGTTGAAACCGGTACCAAACTAATTTGGGACTATTTCGTAAACTAATCCAAAATATTGGGATTTTTCAGTAAACAAAAAATATTAGGACTTTTCTGTAAACAAAAATATTATGACTTTTCTATAAACAAAACCTTAATTATTATTATTGTTATTATTATTATTATTATTATTATTATTATTATTATTATTATTATTATTATTAAAAATATAAATAAGAATACTATTTTTTGAACTTGTTATTTTTAATATTATTACTAATACATATAAATGCATTAAATGAAAAAAATATTATTAATAACATTGTTTAAGGGTGGAGGTGGAGGAGATGGTGATGTTTTTAGTATTGAAATCGTGAATGTCTACTTGTATATTTTTACTTTGTATATGGTCATTTCATATTTGTTATTATTGTTTTCAATTCAGAATATTAATATTTAACAATTTGAAAGAAGTTGCATATTAATAGTTTAAGGTAGTAGAGTTTCTCATTTTGTATATAAAATTGTTTAAGGTTGAAGAATTACTTTCCAAATCCAACAAATCCACTACAAACATCTACATAAGTAACCTATATTAAAATTCGAAAGTATTAATTACAATATTTTGTTTAACAAAAAGTAATAGGAATAATTCAAAAGTATTATTCAAAATTCAAAAGTATTAATCCAAAAAACATGTCCTATTACTTTTTATTGAACAAGATATTGTAATTAATATTTTTGAATTTTGATATGGGCTACCTATGTAGATATTTGTAGTGGATCTGTTGGATTTGGAAAATAATCCTTCTACTGTAAACATTTTTATATACAAAGTGAGAAATCCTTCTAACTTAAACTACTTATAAAGAATTTTACAAATATGCAACTTCTTTTAAATTGTTAAGTATTATTATTTTTAATTGAAAACAATAACAACAAATGTGAAATGGCCATATAAAAAGTAAAAATATACAAGCAAACATGCATGATTTCAATGCTAAAGGCAGCAACATCTCCTCCACCTCCACCCTTAAACAATGTCATTAATATTATTTTTTCATTTAAATACATTTATATGTATTAGTAACAATATTAATAATAACAAGTTCAAAAAAAAGTATTCTTATTTATATTTTTAATAATAATAATAATAATAATAATAATAATAATAAATAATAATAATGATGATGATGATGATGATGATGATGATGATGCTGGTGGTGGTGGTGGTGATGATGATGATGATGATGATGATGATGATGATGATGATGATAATAATAATAATAATAATAATAATTATAATAATAACAATAATAATAATTAAGGTTTTGTTTATAGAAAAGTCCTAATATTTTTGTTTTGTTTACTGAAAAATCCCAATATTTTGGATTAGTTTACGAAATAGTCCCAAATTAGTTTGGTACCGGTTTCAACCGGTCAAAAAGGGTCAAACTGCAAATTTTTGCCGGTTTTCAGGACTTTTTCGTTCAAAAAAAAAATCTTGGGACTAAAGTGTAACTTTTCCGTAAATATTGGGACTTTTCTGAAGATTTCCCTATATATATATATATATATATATATATATATATATATATATATATATATATATATAATCAGTAAACAATCAAATTTATTTTTCAACTAAAAAAATAGGGGTGAGCAGTTCCCTGGAATGTTGGACCTGGTTTCTAAATTTACAAATAAAACTTGACAAAGTAAATAAGCTAACCATTATAAGCTGCAAAGATTAACCATTAATCATAATTATTTTAACATACAAATGAAAATACACATAATTAAGTCAACAAAAATATGTGTCTTGGTGTTAATTTCACTAATCCCAGCATATTGTATACATACTACTGCATTTTTCTTCTGATATATAACACTGTCGGCATGGATGACAAGTTGACCCACAAATCCCTGTATTTATTGTAGATGTATCTAAACTATAAGAACTTAAAAACACAATGAATTTGACAAACAAGTAATTTGTTCAAACCGGATGCTGAATACAATACATGTACTAAAATCATCTTCTTGTGACAATTTTGTTTCCAACAATGACAAGAATCAAACCAAATCTTTTATCACATTATGACCAATTCATCACGTTATGAAATATCATTTAATTATCATGTTATGATCAGTTTAATGGTTACAGCTCCTACAAATAAATTTTGTAACAAATAACCTGTAAACTACATGAGTAACGATGTATGATGCAAGAGTCAGAAACTTACCCTCTTTCATATATGTGAAATAAAAACCAAGATATGTGCTCTAATCTAAACAGTAAGAAGCAAAAATGACAGTAAGTATTTAGCTAAATGTAACTTGGTTTAGAATTACATAATTAAGAAACTAACAGTATCGAGAAGAAGAAGAGAAAAAAAAAACAGAATTTTTATTATTGTTGAACTGCAAAAAAAAACCGTAAAACAAGAATGATATAAATACTAAAATAGGTAGGGCCGGCTAAAAAACTTAATCCTAACTGGATTCTAATTCCTAATGACATTTAAAAATAAAACCCGATAAGAACAAATTCAAATAATTAGTAATCTTCCAGAATTCTTCACATAATAGGGACCATCATGGTGACATGTATTGTAGTATAGAATTCAACAATTTGTAGTATTACCCAAAACTAATTTTTCTAAGCTTGTGGTGTTAAACATAAATTTTCCATGTGGTGCAGTTTTCTGAAGCAGGTGGTGTTTCTTGGAGCTTATGCCAATATGCTACAGAGATAAAAATAAGGCACTGTGATGCATTGTCAAGTGTGATTCCATGTTATACAGCAGGACAAATGCAAAAGTTTCAAGTGCTGAAAATAGAGCATTGCCAAGGGATGAAGGAAGTATTTGAAACTCAAGGGACGAGCAAAAACAACAAGAGTGGTTGTGATGGTGGAATTCCGAGAGCAAATAACAATGTTATTATGCTTTCCAATTTAAAGATATTGGAAATCATAAGGTGTGATAGTTTGGAACATGTATTCACATTCTCTGCACTTGAAAGCCTGAGGCAACTCCAAGAGTTAAAGATATGGAATTGCAAGGCCTTGAATGTGATTGTGAAGAAGGAAGAAGATGCATCATCATCATCATCATCTTCTTCTTCTAAGAAGGTTGTGGTCTTTCCTCGTCTCAAGTCCATTGAACTGGAAAATCTACCAGAGCTGGAGGGTTTCTTCTTGGGGATGAATGAGTTCCGATTGCCTTCATTGGATAATGTTACCATCAAGAAATGCCCAAAAATGATGGTGTTTGCAGCTGGTGGGTCCACAGCTCCCCAACTCAAGTATATACACACAATCTTAGGCAAACATACTCTTGATCAAAAATCTGGCCTTAACTTTCATCAGGTATGTATATATATATATATATATATATATATATATATATATATATATATATATATATATATAATTGGAATCACCTAATTAAGAAAGATATCATGCCAAGTTTCTAAGTTTATGTTGTCACCTGAATCAAACTTTTCTATTTTGAACAAGGGCAAAAGGTCCAAAATAATCTTACACATCTAACTATTTACTTTATGAGATCAGAAATGGCAACCCATTAGTCGGATAACTTTTAGTTGTAGGTAAGTATCATTGTCACTCATAATGATAATCTCTTTAATTTCGTTAAACTTACAACATATATATGACATTTCAAATGCTTTTGTTTGACATATATATGAGTCTGGCGTTTTCTTTATTGGAGTTGCAGAGCCCATTCCCGAGTTTACACGGTGCAACCTCAAGCCCTGCTACTTCAGAAGCTATACCTTGGCATTTTCATAACTTGATCGAATTAGATATGAAATCTAATGATAATGTTGAAAAGATTATTCCATCCAGTGAGTTGCTGCAACTGCAAAATCTGGAAAAGATAAATGTATACTCATGTTCAGAGGTAGAGGAGATATTTGAAACTGCATTGGAAGCAGCAGGGAGAAATGGAAATAGTGGAAGTGGAAGTGGTTTTGATGAATCGTCACAAACTACTACTACTACTACTCTTGTCAATCTTCCAAACCTAACACAAGTGAAGTTGGAGCGTCTACTAAGTCTGAGATATATATGGAAGGGCAATCAATGGACAGTATTTGAGTTTCCAAACCTAACAAAAGTCACTATTTGTGATTGTTCAAGGTTAGAACATGTATTTACTAGTTCTATGGCTGGTAGTCTGTTGCAACTCCAAGAGCTACATATAAGTATGTGCCGCCATATGGAGGAGGTAATTGTCAAGGACGCAAGTGTTGTTGTAGAAGAAGGGGAGGAAAAAATTGATGGAAAAATGAAAGAGATTGTGTTACCTCGTCTAAAGTCCTTGATATTAGAACAACTTCAAAGTCTTAAGGGGTTTAGCTTGGGGAAGGAGGATTTTTCATTCCCGTTATTGGATACTTTGAAAATAAAGAATTGCCTAGCAGTGAGGACTTTCACCAACGGAAATTCCGCTACTCCACAGCTAAAAGAAATAGTAACAACTTTTGGCTCCTTTTATATTGCAGGGGAAGACGTCAACTCCTTTATAAAGATAAACAAGTGGTAAACTACATCTTTCTTTCTTTAATATTCTTAAACTGCAATTGAAAATTTTCATGGAAGTTTTTTTGTTATTGTCAAAAGCTGTAAGTTTCCATTTCTTACATGCAAAAATCTGATTAAACTTTAGTGTCATTTCTATTTTTTACCAACCAAGAAAAGAGGCCGGTGCAAATTTTCATACAAAGGCGGCAATTAATTGTAGTTCATAGTGATATTAGAAAATGAGGTCACCTCAATAGCTTTGGAAAAGTAAACTCAGAAGATTTGAATGAGTTTCAAACTGTGAACAACTAGGATTCAATTGAGAAATACAAAAAGTATCCTACAGCAATGTTAATTGACAAATAGGTACTAAATTTGTATTATAATAAATCGACTATTCAAGCTGAGCTCATCGTGCATTGAGGATCAATAAATTCATAGCTTTTGCATTACTACACAATTTTCATAAGTTTTGCTTCTCTAATTTGATGTATTCAGTTCTTCACATAAGTTGTTATATATCAAGTGCAAGTGCAAGTGGTTGAATCTGGCATTTTGTTGTATGAAAGAGGGAGGGTTTATAGTGTGTTTGGTGGTGCACTTGTTTTCAAGCGTTAATGTATGCATTTATGGTAATTATTGGATTTGAGTTGTTTGGAACTCAAGAACACTAAAGGTGAAAGATGAAGCTCATGGACAATGTTATTAAACGGGTTAAGAATGACGTTTTTATAACCATGATGTGCAGGTCTAGTTGGTATATATGGGATGCAAGTAATTGACATTTTGTTGAGGTGAAAAGGGATGCAAATGGTGTCAGTATTTTTAAAGTAATACAAAAAAAAATGATTCTCATTTGTTATGCTAATTTACATGCAAAAATAACAACTTTATCTACATTATCCAAATAAAAATTGATTCTCATTTTCTTAGATATGTTCATTAAAGCATAAAATCAAACACGCAATGTGCATCAAACAAATGATGGATGGTTACTTGTTCACTCGCTTTTACTAGACATTATGTCAAACACTTTGTGTGAGTGAATCAAATGGTGGGAAACCCACTACATCAAAGGTTCTTTGCTTCATGTTCCGATCACCAGCTTCAAGACCTAAAATAACTTTATGCGGTTCACCAAAACCCAAAATCAAATTGGTACAAATCACTTGAGGTGGAATTAACCGGTGGTCAAGTGATAATCTCAGTAGTAACCAGAATAATCAATAATAATGTAGTCACGCACAAATATCTATTTATCATTTCTTGGTATTTATACAATAATCTTCTTTAATAAATGAATGTTTTTTTTGCCATTTGTCACACTCTCATTCATTGTGCCACATGTCATTTTGTCATAATTTTGAGATATTTATTTTCCATTTGTCATTTACTTCGTTTATCATTATCGAATATATACCATTAATTTAGTTGCTATAAATTAAACATGCCATAGTAACTATATTAATTTCAAATTTCAATCAATTTAAATAAATTTACAATTGAAACCTTCGTATTTAAAATTTTGTTATAATTAACACATTTAATACACGGTTCTGACAACTAAACACATAATTTTAATTTAATTTTTTCATTTTTTTTAATTTATATTTATTTCAAATTTTAAATTCAAATAAACTTGCTGTTTAATCCTTTGTATTTAATATTTTGTTTTAATCAACTCGTATATTATACGGGTATCACAACTAGTTATTATGAAAACACAAATTTAACCCTCCTCAACACAAAATAATGATACCAATTCTCTCGATTCTTAGTTCTCTCGATTCTTATTGCTGTTGGGTAATCTTGACATGGGTGGGTTAATTTGGGTTATGGGTATGGTTAAAAGGTTAGTTTTTGGTATTGTTTTATTTACTATTGAATAAAGAAATTGGATATATAGAAGGGTTTCACCGAGTAGTCAGAAGAATAGGCCGCTAGAAAGATAAATGCTTGAATAGTTCAACCCTTTTACCTGTTTCTTTAGCTTATAGTGGTATTTTATTATGTTCTTCTTTCTTCCCACGTGATGGTGTATGGAAAGCTATATATAGCCTTTATGTAATATGAATAAAATAAAAGTAGCAGTTTTTGAATAAAAACAAGTCTCTCATCTGATTTTTTTTTCTCTTCTTGCGTATAGCAGCAAAGTTTGTTTCCTTTAGTTATTTGTTCACAGGTTAAAGAAAGGGTTGAACCAAAATTTGGTATCAGGTCCCTAAGATCGAGTGATCATTTGAAGAGGTTAAAGAAGGGGTTGAACCAACTTTGTGCACCTGCAAGTGTGTGTGGGCGGGTTAAAGAAAGAAAAAAATAACCCAGATCTATACGATTTGTTGGCACTTTACGAGAAGAACAAATCAAGTTATGAATGATGCCAACAACAAATCTTGGTGGATCAAGTGGATCAAGTCAGGTTGTACCCGTAAGTAGCCAAAGTATCTCGTTGCAATGCCCCAAGTTAACAACTACACACTATACAAGTTGGTCGATTATCGTGGAGTCGATCCTACAAGCATATGGTTTATGGGAGCAGCGATCGAGGACAAGAAAAATCTAATGGCAAAAGCATTTATGTTTCAAACTCTACCTGAAGTTATATTGCTTCAAGTGGCTAAGCATAAGGATGGAAAAGACGTGTGGGAAGCGCTTCGTGTGCAGTATTTGGTGTTGGCACTTTGTTAAATGAAAACTTTCTCTATGGGACTTGTCCCACATTGGAAGAAAGAGGAAACTTATACTCCCTTAAAAAGCCTCCTACTAGTTGTTTACTAATTATATTACAGGCTTAGATTAAAGGGATTGGGTTGGATTTGGTGATTAGGCTAGTCACATTGGTCTTGAAAGACTTATATATATATGTATATATATATATATATATATATATATATACTAGCCGTTTACCCGTGCAAAGCGACGGGTGCAGATCAACAAAATGAAATAAAAAATTTGTTAAACAAAATGTCGAACAGATAGAGATTTCTTATACCTATGCTAGGATTAAACGTAAGACATTTTTGGGCTTATTCGATTTTAATAGAAAGAAAAACAAAGGAGGAGGTAGCGAGCATGAGATAGAACCAAGGTTTTGCGGTCAATGGCAAGGCATTCATGATAGACGAATGCTAGATCAATGCGCCTCTTCCAGTTTATATGAAATGCTTTATAACGTGTACATCGTATTAGACTGATTCAAATGGATATGAAGAACACTTGGTCAAAGTTTGACCCATTCAAAATCTTATCATCATCATCTTATTTGAATTTTTCATAAATGTTGACCGGATAAGATTTAGTATTTACCGATTCAATTGGATATGAGGAACACTTGGTCAAACTTTGACCCATTCAAAATCTTATCATCATCATCTTATTTGACTTTTTCATAAATGTTGACCGGATAAGATTTAGTATTTACCGATTCAATTGGATATGAGGAACACTTGGTCAAACTTTGACCCATTCAAAATCTTATCATCATCATCTTATTTGACTTTTGCATAAATGTTGACCGGATAAGATTTAGTATTTACCGATTCATTGGATATGAGGAACACTTGGTCAAACTTTGACCCATTCAAAATCTTATCATCGTCATCTTATTTGACTTTTGCATAAATGTTGACCGGATAAGATTTAGTATTTACCGATTCAATTGGATATGAGGAACACTTGGTCAAACTTTGACCCATTCAAAATTTTATCATTATCATCATCTTATTTGACTTTTTCATATTTAACCCATTCAATTTGAAGATAAGCTTAGAAGACCTATTCAAAATTTGTGTTTGACCGGAAAAGATTTATTATTCTCCGATGCATAAAATTATTGTATATGATGCTTAAAAGCTTGTACCTCTTAAAATTCAGCAAAATCTTGTAAATGTTTTTTATCATCATCTTGTTTGACCTTTTCATTATTATTGACAGATTCGGTATTTAGCGATTCAATTGGATATGAGGAACACTTGCTCAAAGTTTGACCCATTCAAAATCTTATCATCATCATCTTATTTGACTTTTCATAAATGTTGTCCGAATAAGATTTAGTATTTACCGATTCAATTGGATATGAGGAACACTTGGTCAAACTTTGACCCATTCAAAATCTTATCATCATCATCTTATTTGACTTTTTCATAAATGTTGACCGGATAAGATTTAGTACCGATTCAATTGGATATGAGGAACACTTATTCAAACTTTGACCCATTCAAAATCTTGTCATCATCATCATCTTACTTGACTTTTTCATATTTAACCCATTCAATTTGAAGATAAGCTTAGAAGACCTATTCAAAATCTGTCTTTGACCAGATAAGATTTATTATTCTCCGATGTATAAAATTATTGTATATGATGCTTAAAAACTTGTACCTCTTAAAATTCAGCAAAATCTTGTAAATGCTTTTTAAGGTATAAAGATATATATATATATATATATATATATATATATATATATATATATATATATATATATATATATAAATTCCGATTTTGACTTTTATTTTATATTAAAAAAATTTGTTAAATTCGTTTTAACTGTCTTGACAGTTATTTTCGGTTAGTAGTTTTTGGAGGGAAAAACAGTCAATTTATATCTATAAATAGATCACCAAAGACCAGATTTCGGGTTCAGAAAAATCACACACATATTCCTCATATAATTTCGTATTCACAGACAATGAAGGGAATATAGTGAATTTCGTCAGAATCAAGAGAAGATCTTGGTTGATTGTTGTATCATCTTGACAGATCCCTAGGGAAATTTCTGTCTTAGAACACTACAAAGCAGGCCTCAATCTGTACAATTTCGTGATTATATTTTCTGTTTAGTCATCATACAAGTATGTTTCTATAAATTGATTCTTGTATATATATATATATATATATATATACATACATATATATATATATATATATATATATATATATATATATATATATATATATATATATATATATATATATATATATATTTGAATTTCGTTTGTTTTATTTCAATTAGTTTTGTTGATT